TTATTTTTATTATTTAGCATAAACTAAGTCCAATGCCCATCTCGAAGAAACCGTTCCAGTGTTGGTGTCACACTAAACGATTGTTATCTAAAAATGTTGCACCACTTAGTTGACTGACTTGTTTCAAAAGTTGAAAGTGCTGTTCTACTAGTAGTACTAAAGGCGAATCGAATTTCAGAAATGTGCTTTAGATGCTAATTAGATATGGGCGGCCAAATTGGTTCAACTACTTTTAGGATAACTCATGCAAACTTAAACATAAAAAAAATTACTAGTGAAGAATTTGATGGGAAATGCATTCCTTGTTCTAGCCGGCAGCACTAAACTTTTGCGCCAGTTATGGAAATATAAATTTTTTTATTAAACAAGTTAAATTTTTTAAGACGTCGCACAGTGACGCCTAAGTGGGCAAAAATCGAAAAATTCGTTGCCGCCAATGTGAACGTGTTTGGTATTTTTGTAAAGGTAATATATCCACTAAAAAGAATCAAACAGAAATTTTCCTATAAAGTAATCTATATGTCACCAGGAAGCCACTAAATTCGACAAATTTTATACTAAGAATTTTAATAAGAGCATAGCCATGCGTAAGCTCTTCACGGAAAAAAATGTCAAAAATATATTCTTTGAAACAAAATGTTGGTTTGACGTTTCTTGTTTCCATATAGATAGTAGAGAACTACAGGAATAAAATTTTTGGAATAAAATTGAACACAGGGTGTCCCTGCGGTGTTCTAGAAATTTTTTTTTTAATAAAAATTTAAAAAAATGATAAATTTTAATGGAATAAATAAAAAATATATGTAAAAATATGTTATTTTTTATTATTTTATTAAGTAGTACAGGTTTTTAGCTTTCGAAAGAAGAAGTAAAAACCCGGTCATTTTGTGCACTTTTTGAAGTAACGCGTTTTTTGCTAATGCATTAAATCATTTTTTTTCAGTGCCATTAAATCTGCACGATTCGTTCTGTTTTAAAAAATGAAGAGTCAGAAAAAGCTTGAACTGTAAACAACAGAGGTTTATTTTTTTTAAGAGTTGCCACCTCTTATAAAATTTAATTCAAATTGTTAAAAGTTAAATGAATTATTAAGAGATGGATATCAATCGAAGTGTGTAGAGGGTTGCCACCTGTTAAAAAATCATATTCCATTGGAATTGAAGGAATGATTTTGTTAAAATAGATGAGTATCACCATATTGGAGTCAGCCGAAAGCGGTTTAGGAAGGGTTTAGCTTGCATATATTACGAAGAGGGTTGCCACCTGTTTGTAAAGTTAAATTTAATTAAACTAAAATAATAGTTGTGTCAAACAAAAAGTTTACTATTTCGTATTTGTTATTTTATTACAAATACGTACATTGTCAATCAGTGATTTGTTCTGATAACATTCCTTTTAAATTACTGGACTCTTACATTAACTCAGGAATATTTTTAATAATAATATAATAACAATAATAGATTGGCGCTTACACATATGTTAGTGCTTGGCCGAGCTTCTCCTCCGACTTGTGGCGTGCGCCTTGATGTTGTCGCACAAAGCGGAGGGACCTACAGTTTTACGCCGACTCCGAACGGCGATTGTATTTCTATGAGAAGCTGTTTCTCATGGCAGAAATACACTCGGAGGTTTGCCATTGCCTTAAGAATAAACCCTTTTCTATGTTTTTGCGATGTTGATTTGACCAGGGCTTGAACCCAGGCGCTGCGGAGAATAAGCGAGCACTGCTTACCACTACACCACAGCGGCCGCCAATGAAATGTTTTTACTCGTCACTTATTTCTTGCTTAATATGTCCAATTTTTTCTTTTGTCTGATATTGATATACATATGTACATATTTCAGTTGCCTTATTCCCTTAATTAAAGTGAATTTTATTTTTAAACATGTGGCAACTCTTCTACATTAAGTTTAGAAGTAAATGAATTTTAAACCCATATCGATTGATAGCCATATTGTAATATCTAATTCATTTACCTTATTAAATAATTTTACTAAAATTTGTACTAGGTGGCAACCCGTTTAAAAAAATAAAACTTTACTGCAAATCTACAGGCAAATTCCTGTCATTTGACATCTCACTTTTGAAAATAGAACGAACTAACGGGTGATTTTTTAAGAGCTTGATAACTTTTTTTTTAAAAAAAACGCATAAAATTTGCAAAATCTCATCGGTTCTTTATTTGAAACGTTAGATTGGTCCATGACATTTACTTTTTGAAGATAATTTCATTTAAATGTTGACCGCGGCTGCGTCTTAGGTGGTCCATTCGGAAAGTCCAATTTTGGGCAACTTTTTCGAGCATTTCGGCCGGAATAGCCCGAATTTCTTCGGAAATGTTGTCTTCCAAAGCTGGAATAGTTGCTGGCTTATTTCTGTAGACTTTAGACTTGACGTAGCCCCACAAAAAATAGTCTAAAGGCGTCAAATCGCATGATCTTGGTGGCCAACTTACCGGTCCATTTCTTGAGATGAATTGTTCTCCGAAGTTTTCCCTCAAAATGGCCATAGAATCGCGAGCTGTGTGGCATGTAGCGCCATCTTGTTGAAACCACATGTCAACCAAGTTCAGTTCTTCCATTTTTGGCAACAAAAAGTTTGTTAGCATCGAACGATAGCGATCGCCATTCACCGTAACGTTGCGTCCAACAGCATCTTTGAAAAAATACGGTCCAATGATTCCACCAGCGTACAAACCACACCAAACAGTGCATTTTTCGGGATGCATGGGCAGTTCTTGAACGGCTTCTGGTTGCTCTTCACTCCAAATGCGGCAATTTTGCTTATTTACGAAGCCATTCAACCAGAAATGAGCCTCATCGCTGAACAAAATTTGTCGATAAAAAAGCGGATTTTCTGCCAACTTTTCTAGGGCCCATTCACTGAAAATTCGACGTTGTGGCAGATCGTTCGGCTTCAGTTCTTGCACGAGCTGTATTTTATACGGTTTTACACCAAGATCTTTGCGTAAAATCTTCCATGTGGTCGAATAACACAAACCCAATTGCTGCGAACGGCGACGAATCGACATTTCACGGTCTTCAGCAACACTCTCAGAAACAGACGCAATATTCTCTTCTGTACGCACTGTACGCATTCGTGTGGTTGGTTCAATGTCCAATAAAGTAAACTGAGTGCGAAACTTGGTCACAATCGCATTAATTGTTTGCTCACTTGGTCGATTATGTAGACCATAAATCGGACGTAAAGCGCGAAACACATTTCGAACCGAACACTGATTTTGGTAATAAAATTCAATGATTTGCAAGCGTTGCTCGTTAGTAAGTCTATTCATGATGAAATGTCAAAGCATACTGAGCATCTTTCTCTTTGACACCATGTCTGAAATCCCACGTGATCTGTCAAATACTAATGCATGAAAATCCTAACCTCAAAAAAATCACCCGTTATATGTACATACTTATGTAAATGCCACAATAACCAAGATTTTCAAGTTCAAACTGTATTTACAGTGAAAGTATGAAAGATATCCCAAACAAATTGCATTATTGAATTTAGCGTCCTCAATTTTACTGGGGAGCAAATTTTCATTTAAATCCATCCATAATTCTATTTTTGCCCACATTTTATATGGAAGGGAAGCACTGTGTGTCGGTCTCATTAGTTCACACTATTTGTACAACTGATGTTAAGTTTACTTTTTATTTTATTTTTTCCTAGTACATAAATTATATAACAAAAAACAAATTTAATTATAAAAAATTATGTAATCGATAAGTTTTATTTACAAATATAGGTAATAAGTAACAGGTAAACAAATTTCTTGTGGTGCGACAAATACGCTGACGTCATGGCAAAAAAAAGCTTTAAGAAGGTTTAAATAATAGAATGCAAATTAAAATAGAAAACAAGTGGCGACAACCATGGCGGCTATGACTTATCTTCACTTTTTCTTTCTCATTTCTCCTAATTCTTCTTCTCTATTTTATTTTTTCGTATACGTAGCCACCGTTGCTGCCGTATATTGTGCCAGATTGTTGGGGTCTGCCTTCCGCTGAAGAAGCTTGAGAGCTTGTGGCAGTATGAACAACAGCCGCTGGAACAGATGAGTACTGCTGTGGCGCTGGAGTTTCGTTTTGGAACGATTGTATTTGGCCATTACTCCCCGACTGATAGCCTGAAGAGGTTTGCACCACAGTTCGACTCAAATCAGCTGAATCTAAATGGCTGCTGTGTTGAATTGGGGCGGAAATGGTATCAGGAACTTCATAATTTTGACGCGCTGAAGTTGGTGGCAAATACGCTTGGCTAACTGAGTGGCTTTGTGGAACTGGCGCAGAATAAGACTGTGGAGCATATTTCAGGCTGACTGGAGTTGGGCCTGGCGCAGGTGCTGAATATGATTGTTGGCTAATAGGAGCCGGAGCCGAAACCGAATGAGACTGATGGTTAATTGGAGTTTGCGGTGATTGAGCTGGAGGTAGATATTGCTGGCTAATTGGAGATTGCGCCGGTGCAGGAGCTGAATATGATTTCTGACTAATAGGAGCTGGCGCTAGAGCCGAAAAAGACTGATGACCAACTGGAGCTTGCACAGACTCAGCATTGGATTTGTTTACTGGAGCTGGAGGTAGATAGTGATGGCTAACTGGAGATTGCGCTGGTGCAGAAGCCGTATATGATTGTTGGCTGATAGGAGCTGGTACTGGAGCTGAATTAGGCTGATGACCAACTGGAGCTGGCACAGGCTCAGCATTGGACTTGTTTACTGGATCTGGAGATAGATACTGGTGGCTAATTGGAGTTGGAGTTTCAGCAGGTTCAGAATATGATTTCTGACTAATAGGAGCTGTAGCTGGAGCCGAATACGACTCATGATCAACAGGAGTTTGCAAAGACTGAGCGCTGAATGTTTGAACGGGAGCTGGAGGTAGATACTGGTGGCTAACTGGAGTTGGAGCATCAGTAGGTGCAGAATATGACTGCTGAGTAATTGGTGCTGCAGCTGGAGGCGAATAAGTTTGTTTTTGTGGAGCTGGTGGCAAATATTCTTGGCTGACTGGAGCTGGTGCATCTGCAGTGTGAGAATCCTGGATCGAGATTTGAACTGGACCCGATTGATGAGGAGCTGCAGACGCTGAGTTTTCTTTTCCTACAGGTGCTTGGTGTTGTTGGTTAACAACAGTTGGAGGCAAGTACTGTTGAACTACTGGCGCTGGTGCTGGTTCAGGAGCTGGCGCACCGTGGGTCTGTTGTACAGGCGATGATACTTCGTTTGATTGATACTCTGTGTGCGATTGTTGCTGAGGCAAAGACGGCGCTTGAGCTGCGACATGCTGTGTAACTGGCGCGTTTACTCGCTGATTTTCCGACGAATTTTGTACAGTTGTTTGGGTTAGGACCTTGCCACCTGATTGGCTACTTTTTTGTTCATGCTCGGAATGATTTTCGACTACCTCCTGAGCGATTGAGTAAGTTTGTGTTGGGGGTGCAGGTGCTGCTGCAGGTGGAAGATAGCCACTTGAAACCTGAGGTGCGTCAACAAAGCTCTGCTGAGCTGGGACAGAATATGACTGCTGAACGGGCGCGCTGAAAACCTGAGATATAGGAGCCGGAGCTTGGGCAGTGTTGTGAACTGGAGTAGCGGCTGGGGCGGAGTACGTCTGCGGAGCAGGCGCCGAAGCAGGTGGTAGATAAGCATTGGAAATGTGTGGTTGCAGGGCTGGTACTGGCGCCACATAAGTTTGTTGAGGTGCTGGTTGGGGCTGTGCATCGGCCGGTGCTGGTGCAGAATACTCCTCATCGGCTGACACAGTCGAAACTTGGAAGGCTTGAGGAGAAGGCGCCGAAACGGGTGGAAGATATTCACTAGATAGCTGTGGCTGGAGGGCTGGCGCTGGCTCTGGTTCTGGCGCCGTATAGGTTTGCTGAGCAGGGACAGAATAGGATGGCCCAGCTGAAGGTGGAGCAGAGTAATTCTGCTCGATCGGAATAGCCGCAGCCGAAAAACTCTGTGGAGCTAATGCTAAAGCTGGAGGAAGATATTGATTGGATATCGTTGGTGGAGCTGAATAAGATTGCTGAGGCTGAGCCGCGTAGGTTCGTGCTGAAGCTGGAACAGCATAACTCAGTGGTGCAGGAGCGCCAGCTGGAACACCGTACTTAAAAGAGCCATCATTGTGTTCTTCCGCCGGCGGAGGAATAGACAAGACAGGCTGTTCGGGCGCTGCATTGCCCAAAGAAAAACTAACGATGGGAACCGATCGGATAATCTCAATGCCACTGGACAGAAAACTCTTCTGTGGATGTTGGTAGTGCTGTTCATGCTGCTGCGCTGGCGACTGGTAGGACACGATTGCATTTTCACCGGAATAGCTGTGAGCGCTGGGCGGCAAATATTGATTACTGGATAAATGGCTGACATCGGCGTTAACTAATTGGCTTGCCAACAGCGTCGCAATGGAGAGTATGGCGTACAATTCCTACGGTGAAAAAAGTTTATTGCATTTAAAGGGCATTCTATGGTGAAAAAGTTGTAATGAATTAGTAACATGTTTGCAAGCGACAGAAAATAAAACAGAGTTACAAAACTTAGCTCATCACTAGACTGCGGATTTGTATGCAAAATACGGAGCCTAAAAATATGTACCACTTAACTATAAGCAAATCGTATAAATTTTTATACATTTTGTTTATACAAATTTATACACTCCTCCTTATTTTGAATAAAAATCCGCAGTCTACTTATCACTGTTGGGATTTCTGGTGCGCCGCGAAATGTGTAACAAAAACCAACAAAATTGTCTAAAACTTAAAAATTTGTGTTGTGGAGGCATATGTATCTGTTGCGGCGGCAAACTTTGAGGCGCAGTAGAAATCGCAGCAGTGATGAGCTAAGGTTTGTGACTGTTAGAATATGGATGTGAATTTTAAGAAAATGGTGATGATTTTTCGATTTTATAATATACATATATCTATTAAAAATGCATCTGCCAATTCTACTAACCATTTTTACTGAGCTGCCACTGCGTGGTTAACCCGTCGATTGAAATTTCTCAACTAACACCTCAACTTTGCGCCTCTTGGCCATTTATAGACATAACATCCCTTCATCGTCAGAGCTGTAGACCATCGAGTTATCGTTAAGCAATGTAAATTAATGAATATGCGTATGGGTAAAACAAATTCAGTGCCAAGCTCGCGAACTCTCTCATACTTGCTGCTTGTTTGTGGCATCTGCCTTGCAATATCAATGGCAAATATCAGCATTGGTTACACCAATAACAAGAAACGCATTTCGCTAAAGTTTCACACGATTTGCATTTGCATTTCAGTTTAGCTTAATCGGTTGATTAACAAGCTGCGAAGCAAACGCGGCTTCAAATGCAAAAACGTCAACTTCTCAGCAATAAACTTACGCAACGAATACTTACGAGACTCAGCTGCCTAAATCTAAACTGGCCCAAGCCAAAAAGCGATCAAATGCTGATCCCTCAGCGAGTGTCGTTCATTTGCTCCCTAGCGGCGATGTCAGCTCAATTCCATGCCCTCTAAATAGCAAAGCTGTGCAACGCATAAAAGGCAACAAAATTTACATTGACCACTATTACCAGCGTTGCCATTTTAGCCGTTTTCCGGCTAGATTTAGCCGGTTGCGACAGCAAACAGCCGGAAAAAATTCGATTTAGCCGGCAGCCGATTTGTTAGCCGTTTTGCAAAAAAAATTAGCCGTTTTTAGCCGATTTTGCTCTTCGTCTTATTTTATTAAAATTCAAATTCACAAGTTTTTATTTTTACAAATTTAGTGCTCCTGAATCTATTAGAAATGGCTAGTCTTATGACAGAAAATTTTCATGTCGGACTGTGTTATATAAAATTGAAAAACAATCAGATAGTGAGCCGATTTCAATGTTTTTTGTTTTAAGCGAGTGACCCAAATACACATAAACTGGGACGCGTCATTTTAGCAGATTAAAAAGTTACAAGTTTTGCTGAAATTTTGCAGAATTTTCATAATTTTTACACCAAGTGTGAAATCTGTTTGTAGTATATGTTGTTTGTTAAGTAATGTGCTACATATTCATAAAAAATAATAAATATTAAATAAACTAAAGAAAAATAGGCAAAACTTGCTTCAATTTTGCGTCCCAGTTTATATTTGGGAGCGGGAATTTCCTGCATAAAATTTTTGTTATGAATGTCTTAAATTTAAGTGTGAAGTGTGAAGACAATACATGGTGCAAACATACTTTTTTAATTTTATAAAATAAAACTGCAGTAGTTTTCATCTTATGTGGATAATTCTTGTGACAAATGCATAGTTTCGTGCTTATATTTTTGTATATATATTTTTAGCAGCACCACATCTTTATCAGAAAAATCCGCGAATCCAAAAATTGGTACTGTTACAAGTTGCAGGCACCATTTTAACCCGACCTCTTTCCTGTTCCACGGATAATGGTACATCTTTCAGAGGTTTAAAGATATTTTGCGTCAGCAATTTGTAATCAACCTACGTACCCTACCTCGGAAAAGCAAAAAACTTTATATTCGAACGTTTGCTCAGGTGTACCGAATTCTGGCAGTTTGGAAACGCGCAACACTTTTAATATTTTCATCCAACTTCACTAACTTCAAATTATCAAATTTTTCTCCTTTTTTAAGAAACAAAAATTTTTCTGCTAGTGAATCTGGTGGCATGATTTTAGTTAAATGTCATAAACTTGTTAAAAGTGAAGTGGTCGGCAACAACAACGAATGTCAATGCCTTCTGCTTTCACAGCTTTACGTGTTCATTTCTCAAAATATTGCCCTCCCACTAAGCAAAAGTGCCATACTTTCAGCTAATATAGCCATTTTGCGGGACAAAAAGCAACCTACTGAAAATGATCCAATATTTATAAGAAGGCAAAATTGTTTAATAGAAAAGAAAACGCCATAAGTTTGTAATTTATCTCTGTTTTTATATTTAAGTAATACAAATATTACTTCTGATGTAAAGCTTAGCTACGTATAACGAGAGTTTCCTTTGTTAAACAAAAATAAAGTGGTGTACAGCTTAGCTACGTATAAATAATCTTTATTAACCAAAAAAAATTCAATGGATTGACTAGTCTTTCTACTTGTAGTTTATGTATTTAAAAAAAAATTAATTCTGGTTGAAACATTTTAGCCGTTTTTAGCCGTTTTTTTTGTCCAATCTAGCCGGTCGCCCTGAAAAGTTCTGGCAACACTGACTATTACTAGCTACTATTTGTTGTTCCCCAACAAACACTAGAACAAAAATTTTCAAACGTTTGAGAAAATCGTATTTCTCAATTTGATTTTTAGCATTGTTTAACATTTGAAACTAGACATTTTCTCAAATTTTTTTCAAATATTGTTTATCAATTTAGGAAAGGTTCGAGAAACATTTGAGAAAAAATTTTTAGCATTCCGTTCCGTCCCATCGCTGTAGGCATGGTACAGATGTCGAAGTCCATCGGTAGTCCGCTACATCAGTCGCAAAATGGCTCTTCGACCACGCGGTCGCTGTTATTCGCAATTTGTCTAATTTCTAGAAAAACTGTGCAACTAATTTTTTTATACCAACCGTATTTTTCTGCGTTAAACTAGCAATAAGCTATTAAATAAAGTGTTGAACTGCATAAATAAAAATTCCTTTCCTATGAAAAATATGTTTCTCTTACATGTATCATTGGACACTATACCAATATTTCAATGAGAGTAACAGGATTTCATTTCGTTCCGCTCCACTCACGTTTGAGAAAAAGTTGAGAATTCAACATTTCTCAATTTGAAAAGAAAGGAAAATTCTATATTAAAAAAGTGCCTTTTAGTTTGAGAACGCTATCAATGGTTATTTGAGATGCATTTGAGAACTAACGATTGAGATGTGAGAAAAGGACTGATTCTCAAATGCATCTCAAATTTAGATATAACAAAAATGTTTACTGGGTCGTGTTGTTGTCAGTTGATCTGTTTGTTTAAAAGTTGTATCACTTTATTAATGAATTTGTCGTTGTCCGTCGCTTCCTCTTACTTCACTGTATATAATTATTATTATTTTAAATTTGTTTAATGTTTGTTTAGTGAAAGGAAGGTGCTATCTTAAATTGCACGAATATTAACTGACTCATATAAACACACTTAATCACTTGTACACAAAATGCCATTTAAGTCATAAACCCAAAAACAAACTCTAGCACGTCAGTTGTCGTTTCCACCGCCATATTCAGGGTGATTCAACAATACCGCAGATTTTCTTTAATAAATAAAGCCAGCGATCGGAAATTATCGTTAAATCCCAGGATTTTTATCGAATAATCGTAACTTTTAGATTTTTATTGTTTCTATAAAGAAAAATCTCTAAATTTGGATTTTTATATTGTTGACCAAATATAATAATGGCGGTTGCCTTTTTATGGCTTTTTTAAATCTTTTATGTTCGGAAAAATAAAAGCCAGAAGTAACGATTATTATTGATCGAAAAAATAAAAATCATAAGAAAGTGATTAAATTTTGTAGAAAAAATAAAAAGCCAATTCTAACGGTTAAATTATGAGTTTTATTATAAATATCCTAAACGTTACGGTATGTACCTGATTAAAACACAACCAAATTTCTCGAAATGATTGGCTTTTAGTCTATGGGATATATATGGGACATTCCATATGATATTTACACCTAAAAATTTTTTTGGGGGTGAAATATATATTTTTACATTCTTTATCAAAAAAAAGAAGACACCTTTTTTATTTCGCCATCATATTCGAAAATCTCGAAAAAAATATCCCGAAATTTTGAACCCACGGAGAAGCATCTTTTTTTAATTGTTTGTAGTTAATAAACTATTTGTCGGAGAAAATCAGTTAAGGTATCAAATTGTGCGTAAATTACCGCGGCTTTCCATGAGAGTGTGAAATAGATTACAAAATAAAAATATTTGCATTAAAAACTCGCATATTTTTATTAACTTCATCATGTTTGATTTTTATTTCTTTCATCCTGAATAGTTATTAAACTTTATGGAGAACGCTGTAAAAATTTCAGAATGGAAACACCAAAACTGTAGAAGTTACGAGTTTTTTCATACCTGCATACATAAACTTTAGTATAAACTTGCATTGAATCACCCTATACATATATACATATGTATGTACGTATTTAGCCGTATTAAAGAACGAAAATGTTTGAAGCGCATACAATTATTAATTCTTTTTGTTTTAATGTTTTTCGTTTTAATCAAGTTTCGTTTTAATTTCATGCCACTTTAGCAGTCGAATATTGCACACATATCTAGATGCATGCTACGATCGGCACCATAGTCTGAGACCTAAAGCTATATAACTATAAATTTGCTATTAATAAGCTTACGATAAGAATTCAACTAAGCTCAAGCTTTCCTTTTTATTAGGAAAATTAATCTGAGCAGAAGCATTTGCTTAATTTTTTTTTGACTAGTTATGTACTTTTCTGGAATTGCGCATCTATGAACGCCCGACTTGTCAGTTTTGACGAGGAATATTGCATTGAACATACATTGTGTTAATTATTTATTGGTTAGTATGCTGTATTATCGAGGTGGTCTCACTGAGAAAAGAGAGCTAGAGGTATATTTGACTATCTGGTGGGTCGCTGAAAAATGTCTCTATAAAATATAAGTATACAATACCCTTTCCTTTTATATAAGGGTTATATATATATGGGAAAGGTCTATGAGTTCCTCAAAGTAATTGCATCCATTCATATGTGTGAAGTAAAAGTTTCCAAAGACAAAAATCATAGCATTTTTATTATTTGTTTAATATTTTTCTATAAGTTACTACTGAAATATGGAAAGTTTCGCCGGATGCGTACAAATTGTCCAGCCAGCGTAATAGTATTTGTATTCTATGCGATTAAGGGCCGTTTTCTGAAGTAACCTTTTACTTTAAAGCTCACTTTATATTTTAAGGTTGGACTAAAAATAAATATATGTCTAAAGTTAAGCATTTCTATTATCGGACTTTGATGTGTGTATATTTCTTGGTTGTAAACCAATTTTAAACCGATAATAAAATGCTTTACTTTAGACACAATCATAAATTTTAATGCAACCTTTAAATACAAAGTGAGCTTTAAAGTTACAGGCTACTTAAGAAAACGGCTCTAATTATACATGTCCGTAAAGCTAAAACAGTTCGTAGTTCCAGCTTTTTCGGTATCCGTCGTTGTTTGTCATCAACCATGTTTGTTTCATATAAAAGAAGGGACGTATTGACGATTTGTAGCAACGATTTTTGTTCGTTCAGTGTTTTAGGCCCTTTGTACACAATGCTATGCAAATCTTTGTTACTTGACGATTTTAGTCTCTAAGCGACTACCGGAATACAAATTCATAGAGGTTCGTATACAGGCGCGCGGCGCTGACATTTTGTTCATCCGTCGCCGATACCTGTTGTACGCTACCTGCCGGACGGGACCTTCGCTACATACGTTGTGTAAATTCGCATTAGCCGTGCAGCCGCAATGGCCGAATAGAAACTCAAATCTTACGAGTCAAAGGTGTGTGTACTAGATGCTCGCAACGTGGTAGTTGTAGAACATTTGAATCGAAGATTTGCGTAGCCTTGTGAAGGGC